TAAGAGACAGAAACAGAATTTTACCTGTTATAACAATTATTATTGAGATTAACAATAATAACATTAATATTTGTATAAATAATGATAATAATATATTTTATATTGCATATACGCGTTAAAAAATTAAGCTATCATCTTACAATTATATGAATAAACAAATACATGTATTACATAGTATAATAAATATTATCAATATCATGAATATTATTGTTATTATTATTAACATATTTCACGATAAATGATTAAATCATTTTTGAAATTTTTTTCAGTATGCCACTTCATTCAACTGCAGCCCTCATAAAATGATGCGAGTGAACTTTGACTGCTCAGCACTGTGGGTAAAGAATGAGGCGGATATTAGGCATGCTTTCTACTTTGATCCTTGCTACCTCAAGCACAGTTATCAAGGAGTTGTGAGGGACTTTAGGGTATGTATAATTGTCATATCATATTGTTACATCACTGAATAAGGGTGGTATCACGTTTTGCCTAATGCTAAGTTACCAAAGACTTATCACCGACAGAATTTTGGAGAAATGTACTTTCTCCGACACGTCATTTGGACAACAGGTTTCTTGCCGGACAGTACAGTTCGCCAACTGGACGTTTCGCCGACAGTCAATTCGCCGATAGACAATCCGCGGACAACTAATTTGCCGACCGACAATTCGCTGACAGCCAATTTGCTAACAGTCAATGATTCCACGATAGCAAAATCGCTGACAGCCAATTGACCGACACTATTTAGTTTTAAACTGTGACAATGTTTTGTTATACAGTATACCTACAGACATTTGTCAGACCATGGAGTAATGTATTTATAAATATAATATATTTTTTAATATATTTTCTCCATGTTCAGATAGACAGAATGAAAATTTGATTGACAGAGTTGAAAGTTTGCTCTAACAAGTAAATTTGAAAATAACATTTTCCTACATGTCGTTTCTCCGACACATACAGGCCCGTAATTAGATTTAATGATCAGGAGGAGTATTCACAGTTTTAAAAGGAAGCAAAGTACCGGAAGTGTCCAAAACAGTCAGAGTTGAGGTGAAAGAAAAATGTAATGGTTTGATTTGCACCTCTAAAATAGCACTTTCGCAATTTAAAATAATAGAGGTCAAGTATGTAAGTAACAGCTTAATGTCGTTTTAACTATTGTTGCATACCAAAAATCATCAAGTAATTGTAGTATTATAAGAATATACTAAATCGTTAAATTTGGCACTGCACTACCATTTTTAAACTCACATAAAACTATTGCAAAGTTTTAGGACTTTATATTTAGTTTACTTTTTTGGCATTGTCATTTTATCAAAAAATATTAAAATTTATTATTTGGGATTTGACTTGTCATTGAGTGAAGAAAAATATAATATCACTATGCACTCATAGAGACTCGACATTTAGTTTTATGTGTGATCACTATCTGTCCATGTACGAAATACTGGTCATAGATTTCTCGATTTTTTGACCCTAACTTCTAGCACATGCCTAGAAACTACATGATTTTGGGCAAAGCGGCTTACGGTTGATAGGGCGGTGTTACTTCAAGGCCAAATG